GAACCGAAGAAAGAGGCAAGCTAGAAACCAGCATGAAGCAGGCAGAAAGGTCCTCCGAAACGCTGACTTTCAATAGACTACATCCTCGAATCCTACAAGTAAGCTGCTAAATTGTGCCAGAATTTGTTTCATTAACTTACTTCGTGGCTTCTTATTTCGCACCTAAAGCTTCATCACCATTTGGTTCGTCCGCTTACGAGTTAACTAATTCTTGTATAATGGAGAGTGGTTCCAAAAGGGGCACAGAAATGCCCAATGTAAGATTTGAGGTTTTCACGGCGGTGACTATTAAGAGTGCCGTCTTCTGGGATTTGGAGCCGTGTAGATCTTGTGTGAACCGACGTTTCGGAGGAACTTATTGCCTCCATCTTCAGGGTAGAACAATCCGTGAGCGAGGAACCACTGTGAGCAAGCGGCTGTAGCCACTTCAGCCCCCTTCTCACGCTGGTTCCTCGCTCGCGGATTTCTCTACCCTGAAGATTGAGGCAATAAGTTCCTCCTAAACGTCGGTTTACACAAGATCTACACGGCTCCAAATCTAAGAAGAAGGCATTCTTCAGGAAAGCAGTAACTCTATATATTACTTCTGCTTAGTATTAAGTCTCCCGTATATGAGCGTGCTCGTCTCGAGAAATACATAACTGCCTGTCACACAGGCGTAGATAAGTTTGATTTGCTACTGATAACCAGCGCTTTACACATCCTCTAGTGCAAGAAGGTTAAATAAATCATTCTGGTTTCAAACGTTGCAAAACATACTAACTTCTTCCACAATCTATATATTCACTGAAGCGTATTGTGACTAAATAAACATTCTTCAGTTATGAAACTAATTTCATACTAGAAAAAAATATCCGAAGTGATCACTCCTAGTTTTATAGTGTAATGAGAACAAAGGCACAATAATATACAGTTGGAAACACATTGTGACATGACGCCTGAAAACCGGAGTGGTCCATTGCTAGATAACGGTTCGCCACGAAATTAACACACGTTCCCGCGGCAACGAGTATACGTGGAATAATCCATTAGTAGACAATGGTTCGGTACGTACAATCCCCCTGCAAGGATTAGACGCAGTAACTGAGGAACTGTTCGAGATGGTGATCTATATTCGGTTCGCCTCGAAGTTAGTTCAGTTCAGTTCAGTTCGTTAGTGACACATTCGTAGGAGTTCGGAAGTCGAGTGTTCGGCTGTGGAGTGTCAACCAGCGGTCAACGGAAGCTGAAGAAGTGACTGACAAAACCAGCCACAGTGGAAGACAGAAGCAAGGAGATGTCAATAGAAGAGAGACCAGAAGAGAACACAGCCGTCGTTAAGTCAGTTGTGTTCAGCCCAGAATAGATCAGATCAGAATTGTGCTGAAGGCGTATTGTGAATTACTGTAAATTGATCGTGATTAAGAGTGAGTGTAAAAGAAGGCGTTAATAAATCCAATCATCTAATCCAGAACCGGTTATTATTAGTCACGGAACACCGGATACGTGACAGTATCTTTCGTAAAGATCCCAAAAGAAGGAATATATATATATATATATATCCTTTCTTGTACACCAGCGGTCCTACTGAAAGGAAATTACAGTGGGCACCAACGACGTGTAAGAAAATATGCTCCATATAGACGGTTTTAGTGGCCTGTTTAACGGTGATCGAATGGGACTGCTGGTTGCAGCTCTTACTGCAGACTCATGTGATCACGTTATTTTGTCTAAGTTCATGGCTCCCAAATCTCAGGATTTGTCGCCGCCGAAATTTTATTTCAGAGTAAGATTTGAGGCTTTCACGGCGGTGACTATGAAGAAAGCAGTCTTCTGGGATTTGGCACCGTGTATATGTGGTGNGAGTGTTTTAAATAAGTGATCTTCACAAGAAATAACCTCGACACATTAAAGGTAGAGTTATCCCGTGCTTAATTAATTAAGCATTATGCCACGAAGACGTATGGAGAAGTGAAGGTATACCGTCAGTATTTTTTACCTCGGCATCGGACAGATGCGGGTCTCAGCTCCACGTCCCACCCGCTTTACCCCAAGGGAAAGAGCCCACGGTACTCATTGACTAGGAGCCTGGGTGGGCCCCGGAGGCGGTCTAGACGCTGTGGAACACAGAAAAATTCCTTACTCCTGGGGGGAATTGAACCCCGGCCGTCCACCCCGTCACTATACACCACATACTAGAATTAAAACAAAATTCTGAGATATGCATTTAAAAATTAGACTAGCCAGGCAACTGGGCATGGCGTTGTGTCGAACGTGTAGAAAAGAAAAAACGAATACACCAACGCAGTGGTCAGTAATGATCATTGGGTTTAGTGGTACTTGAAGGGTTAGGTGGAAAAACCAGATGGTTTCAATTTGAACGGAAATAAGACAACGGTTCTATCTGGCGGAGTCAACTATTGGAGGAATAGTTCTGACAATTTTGCGTTGAGTTACAGAGGAAAAGCAAATACATAACGCATGTATTTTTTTTTAATTCTTAGAATAATTCTTTGTCGTTTCCGAAAAGTAAGTAAAAAAGGAGCCAATATTAGAGTCAATTTTACCGACCACACAACATATTTTTATTATTGTGTGGTCGGTAAAATTGACTCTAATATTGATTAAATACACAACAGGATGCAAGAAACAATTAAAGTTAAAAAAAGGAGCCACTCGGTTTTCCATCCATCCCTTGAATTACAAAGTTCTGTTGCAAAAGAAAAAAAATCACTGTAATGGTTGAGGCACTATGCTGCAAGCAGGGAGGTCACAGGTTTGATTCCCGATTAGGTCAATGGATGTTTCAGTTGCCTTAATCCTTCCTGGGGTCGCCTCAGCCTCTAACAGAAATGAATACCATAAATCTTCTTGGGGGTAAAGGAGGGCCGGCGTATAAGGCTGAAAACGTCACCGCCATCTTTGAACAGACTGTCTAGAAAATGTAGGAGCCTCGACGTTTCACAAATCTATGGGCCTCGGCGGCCTCTTAGAGGGACAGCTTTGCCTTACTTTAAAAGTACAGCATGGCGTGATTTTCCGATCACCCTGTACATCACGTTGTCGAGTGTTTGGTTAAGCCGGAACCGAATTCTTCTGCTATAGATCATACAATGTCCCTATTATAATAATCACAGATTGGGATCCGAAAAACAGGAAGAAGCTACAATATGAAATAATGATTCCTTCATTAACCCTCCGCTGATGGGTTATCCGAAAGAGAGTTGTGACCCTTAGCGCCGGCCTTCGTCTTAATAATCTGAGAGGTAATAGACTGATACCCTCCAGCTAACCTTGTTTACTTCAGAGGGAATGTATAACACGCTGATGATGGTGGTTAAAATTGTCAGAGCCTGAGCAAACAGTCTCTGCAATTTTTAAAACAATACGTGTCATGTGATGGAATCAGAGGTCACAACTTATGTGTTGTTTATACGAAATTATCGGTTATTTCTTTCATAATCTCACAACTTTGATAAGTGAATGCTGCGAATGTTTGTTTGTTTGTACGGCTTAACATTCCGCGTGTATGTGTGGACAGTAATACTGTGTACTGACAAGGAACGGTAAACAAGTGGCAGTTAGATGAAGCTGTCCTTGTAACAGGCCGTGAAGGCTCATAGGGTTGTGAGACGTCGAGGTTCCCACATTTTCTTTTAGACAGTCGGCTCACAGATGGCGGTAAGGCTGTCAGCCTTACGCGACGGCCGCCCTTTACCCTTCAAGAAGATTGCTGGCACTCATTTCTGTTAGAGGTTGAGTCGACCCCACGGCCGTAGTGCGGCTGGAAGGATTAGGTAAACTGAAATATCCACCTCATCGGGACTCGAAAGGAAGTGCCAACTACGTATATTTAATTTATAGACCAGAATTTATCACGACTGGGATAAACACGAACCGTCCGGATTGTCATCATGATGTGCTCAATAATTTTATTTTAAAACCCATAAATGAAGATTTTGTTCAGTGTAAAAGGTAAAGTTGTCAATGTGCTTAATTAATTAAGCACCGCGACATGAAGACGTATGGAGGAATTAAGGTACAGATCCACCATTCTTGATCTCGAGACTAGATGAGGTGAGCGGTCAGCTTCATGGCCCGGCCGCTTTACTCTCCGCGAAAGAACTCCAGGTACCCATTGGACAGGAGGCTGAGTGGCCCCAGAACCCGTCTGGATACTGTGGAGTAGGGAAAAAATCTCTTGCCTCTACCGGGTATCAAACTCAGCCCATCCAACCCGTAACCCTTCGGTATAACGACACCGATCTCCGGGTTCTTTTGTTTTTGTTCAGTGTTACCTACTAATTATTCCCTTTTCACAGATATTCATGGTCTGATATTTTAAGTATCTCTGGAAGTGTCTTGACTAACTATTTATAACAAGGAAAAAGACCCTGCAACTCTTTCTGACCACTACAGCCATATTAAACTTCGCTGTGCTATGAAGAAAGTCGTCTTCTGGGTTTAGGCACCGTGTATTCTTCGTTTTGGCCGACGTTTCGGAGGAACGTAGCGCCTCCATCTTCAGAGCAGTTGAATGGCTGCGGAGAGCAGCACTGCTCTCCGCAGCCATTCAACTGCTCTGAAGATGGAGGCGCTACGTTCCTCCGAAACGTCGGCCAAAACGAAGAATACACGGTGCCTAAACCCAGAAGACGACTTTCTTCATTGTCATCGCCGTGAAAACCTCAAAACTTACATTCGCTGTGCTATGTTTCTCATCGCTGCTTCAAGGCCCATATTCAGAAGTACCATGTTTCATCTCGGTTCAGGTGGAAAGCTATTCTCCCTGAATGGTTTTCGCCAGACGCTACACGCAAATTCTATGATAGCGCTGGTGCCATAAAAGAAGCCAAGACTGTTTCCTTCTGCACTAGTTCCAATTTATCATTTATAATCAACGTCATATTTAACGGTATAATAAGTCAGTTGAGAAAGCCTCGTTAAACAGAAAGAAAACCGTCAAATCTCTTTTGGAAGGCCGTTGTTCAGACTGGGACTTTTCGTAATTTCCCCAAATCCCACAGACATTTCCGAAGATAACACTGATGCCTTAAGTAGTCCATGATTGTTTTTTTTTCGCGCTACTCCTATTTATTTTTCATAATAATTTTTCCACATATCAGTAAGGGAAAGTCACTAAAAAGACAGAAGATTATCGTGTCTTTACTGTGAGCGACACCTCTAAGCTAGGGATGAGCGTGCGCAAACCATGGTATCTTCTGCGCAGCAAAATGGATTGGCTTGGGCAACCCGAGCGACCGGCTAATCTGAGAGTTCTTCGTAGAATTCCTCAGTACTACATGCATATGATCGGATAGCATCTTGAATCAGACCACAATCGCTCCTTCCACATTCTTCCCATCTCAGTTTGTAATCATAAACTTCTCATCCGCGCATGTAACTAGTACAGTAGAAGAGTGATCCATGAACAACATTCCTCGCCGTCAGTAGAATACGAGTATTCCGGTATCACATGACCCCGTGTATATACACCGTCCCCTGTTGTCGCCATGCGGTCGCCAGTTGTTTGTTCTCGCAAGGGCTGACGAGACTGCCAGCTCATCCTCACCATGATTACAACAGACAAGTATAACGGACCTTCCTGAAACAGAAACACCTTCACAAGAAATACAACTGTATTTGCATGGCCGATGCAACTTTCCCCACACGTCGGTCTCACACAACGTTCAATTGTTCCACCTCGTCACACTTGCTTGTGGGTGCGCAGGTTGTGTGCCGGGAAGATGATATTAAAATGAGGCTAAACACTTAGAAACACTAATTTATTCTAAATAACATTTAGAAATCTAGTTACGGAGAAGGATGGTGCACTGGGAACGGTCTAGACTTGTATTTGGGAAGTTTTCTGTTCGCATTTCGGCCAGGACACTGGCTGTCCTGAAGAATATCGTGGTTATTCCCAGTTACTTCTAGGCATACGCTGGAGTAATAGTCGATTAAGTTGCAACCGCTTCCTTCCAGACGCTTCGAATTCATTATTCACCAATCATCCTACGATACGACGCTTATGATCTGAGATACTGACACAAAAACAGACTCCGTGGCCTGTAGTCCGCAAGCGAACTATACCCACCGAGCGACCGCCGCTTGTCGGCGAAGTTAGAACCAACTTTAGCAGATATAGGGTGTCGCTTGGTCAGCGCAATGGATCCCCACGGCCGTTAATCTCGGTTTTCTAGACCGGAGCCGCTATTTCCTTGAAATAGCTCCTGAATTATCATCACTAGGCTGAGTGAACCTCGTTCCAGACTCTGATATAGTGACAGCGTCCTAAAAGAAAACATATTTATCCACCATTATGAAGACTGGCTGATTCAGGATACATACGTGTTTATTCTCAGATTCGTATGGAATATATAAATACACTCTGTTGCCAAAATGCGAGCTTTTCAAAGTTAAATTAGGCGATATGCACAACAACATCTTCGCCCTCCCAGTGGCTCAATCTTGTTAAGTTAGTAATGGATTTCGCAAAGTGGCCTATGGGGGCTGGATGTATAGATCCACATTTTCTTGACCTCGGCACTAGCTGGAGGTGACTGGTCAGCTTTACGCTCCAGCCGCTTTACCCCCGGGGAAAGAACCCCCAGTACCCATTGGCTAGGAGGCTGGGTGGACCCCAGAGCCAGTCTGAACGATATGGAGAAGAGAAAATTCTGATCCTACCGGGACTCGAACTCCGACCCCTCGGTCGTCCAGCCCGTAGCCCGTCACTATACTTACTGCGCTATCCCGGCTCACCCAGTAGCACAGGGAAAATATCTTTCATGGGAAGAAGATTGATTCCGCCCGCGTTGGGAGCAACACTTATCTTAAGTTTCTCTTGGTCTCAGTTTCCTCTGTTGCGTATTTCAGTCCCATCCAGGACAATATTTCCGTTCACATTTTATCTAATAAAATAAATTACAGCAGAGCCGATTACGTTCCGTGTGCAAGCCTTTCAAACTCTGTAGGACCGAACCCCGAAGTTCCGTGTTTCGCAGTCTCACTTCGTAGCGGAAATATCGACCTCGTTTCAGTCTGGAGGCAATAACGGAAAAGTCTACTGCAAAACAATTTCACGAACACTTCCTTCCAAGTCTTTCAAATTCATCGTCTATTTTAGTTTATCTTAATGATTTTGAAAAACCAGAAGTAGGCTTGTGAGGTCATCTTGATGTCTGTCTGTGTACCCCTCCTATGAACCTTTGAATGCTTGAACCAATCTTTATGAAACGTGGCATCAGTCTGTGTGTGTACGTTGCTTGGCAAAGGCTCAGTAAAAACGTTACTGCGGCAACGAATACACATGCAACAATAGAAGACTTTTTGTACGCGTTGTTTTCTATGCGGCCAGTGTCACATCGAAAGCGAGTCTGCGGGTCTGTGTATCCCCGTATCGTTGCTGGGTAACTGCTCGCTAGACACGTTCCCGCGGCAACAGAGAATTATTGGAGCCGTCATTTTCAATGCGGTCAGTGTTGTATCAAAGAAAAGTGGGCGATCAGTTCTCCCCAGAACTTCCTGAATAATCTATGGGTTGGGGTGGAATTGAGTCCGCTTTGTGCGACGGCCAGTATTGGGCATACCGGCTCAGAACCAGATTATGATAGAAGAGTGTGGAGCAGGTGGCAAAATGTAAATTGGCAGGGAAAACCGAAGCACTCGGAGAAAACCTACCCGTGTCATTATTTCTACAACAAATCAGACACTACCTGTCTTGGGATCAAACAGGGGCCTTCGTGGTGGAAAGCTGGTGACTAAATGCTTGAGTCACGGTACTGCAAATTTATATTTAACATTTATTCTTTAATTCGATGCTATTTAATCTCTGAGGCTGAGATATCATCGTTAAATAAAGTAACAAACGCAATGGAAGTTGAAGAAAGCAGTCTTCTGGGATTTGGCACCGTGTATATGTGGTGTTAACCGACGTTTCGGAGGAACGTATCGCCCCCATCTTCAGGGTAGAAGAAAAAGTATAAGAATTCTGCAAGCGACAACACCGTGAGAAACGGCCTGCTTTACCGTTTCTCACGGTGTTGTCGCTTGCAGAATTCTTATACTTTTTCTTCTACCCTGAAGATGGGGGCGATACGTTCCTCCGAAACGTCGGTTAACACCACATATACACGGTGCCAAATCCCAGAAGACTGCTTTCTTCATAGTCACCGCCGTGAAAGCCTCAAATCTTACGCAATGGAAGTTACTGGAAGAAAATGGCATAATGAAAATGGAAGAACAGGTTCAAGTCTGCGATGTTGTGACTGCACTGAAACATAATTTCTTCAAGAGTTTGCGCCCTGCATTTCATCAAAAGGGACGAAGGAGGAGTTTCCTCGCGCTGCAGCCAATCGCAAACAAAACAATTTCGCACAAGTGGATTATTGATCCAAGTTTGTGCAGCATCCTACGCCAACCCCTGGACCAACTCCCTGTCGGAGCAACCAACCCCGTGACGACATTACAATTACATGTAGGGAGCATACTGCCCACAAAATGGCACCCTCAGGTCCATGGATTGTACGCTAACGTTTGGTGATTTGTCGGTGTTACAAATCACGTTCCCAAATACACATTGGCTCTTCGTGGTTTTCTGCAGTTACTTCAGGAGGATTCCAAGACAGTAAATCGAAACAGCCCAGTCAGGGACGTCCCCTTCCGAATCCTTAAATATTCTCCCTTCATTCCACGCTATAGAAATCTACAGTTGAAAAAGTGTTGTTAATAACCTTAGAACCATAATGCAGCGTTGTATGGAAAGTCTAGGCTAGGAAGCTTTTGCTGGCCATGTATTAATTGCAGCTTTTATTCTGATCTCCAGAATCCAGATCACAATTTCTGATCCCTGTAAAAGGCCGTGGAGGCCCATAGGGTTGTGAGAAGTCGAGGCTCCCACATTTTCTAGACAATCGGCTCACAGATGTCGGTAAATTTGTGATCCTTACGCGCTGGCCGCCCTTTACCCCCAGGAAGATTCCTGGTACTCATTTCTATTAAAGGGTGGGTCGACCCCAGGGCCATAGTGCGGCTGGAAGGATTTTTTTTTCCTTGGCACTACAGCCCCAGCGGGCCTAGGCCTACCTCCATGAACTTCTCCGTTCACTTCGGTTTTTCTAGATCTTACACATACGGTAGGACTCCTTGGGCGGGTGATCAGCACGTCGCAAGGCCTCTACCGCTGGAAGGATTAGGTCAATTGAAAAAACCCACCTAATCGAGACTCAAACCCGCGAACCTCCGGTTTGTAGCATAGTGTCTCAACCAAGCTTAATTAATTAAGCATCACGCCATGAAAACATATAGGAGAGCGCAGATGTAGCTTCACCATTCTTGACCTTAGCACTAGACGTAGGCGAGTGGTCAGCAGTTCACACATTGGTCCATTTACGTCGGGGAAAGAACCCAAGTAATCATTGGATAGGAGGCTGGGTACGCTCCAGAATCGGTCTTGACATTGCGGACCAGATAAAAATCTCTTGTCCCTACCGGGAACCGAACCCCGATCCTTCAACCTATATATTTATACATGTAAGTTAGCCTGACCTCTTCTCTGAATCCAAATCCTAAATGATAAAACTTTCACCTCTGACATCATTCCCGTAAACTAAAGAATATAGGACATTAACTTCGGTGCCCCTCTGACCGCCTCTGACATTCGCCCAATTAACTTTGGAAGAAACTCGAATACATCACAGGCATATTACATTTTGTGGACAGCTTCAGAAATATACGCGCTTCATTTCTGAAACGATGGGAAATTAACTGCTCAAACAACTGGAAATTCTTGTCTAGATGTTTCCATTTTAACAAGGGTGAAATATGGTTGACATGGTACATAAGGGGGGTTATATTCAAGTACAGTTGACATAGCATGAAACCAGACTATCCTAAGGACATAAATAAACAAAATGAGCGCACCATGAGCCAGTAGTATTATAACAGGCGATAACCTAAGCTAACCTATACCGACTTTTGGTCGGGTCGCTCTGGGTGATAGGAGCTCTGTCAGCCTTATCTTCCAGGCAGTCAACGCGACCGCTATCAATCTTCAGATTAAAAGCGAGATAAGTGCCTAGCTTTTAAATGATTATTTTAACTTCAAAAATATTTCTGATTACAGACCACATCATTAAGTCCGTTTCAGGTTCACTAACCCGGATGACCTCTCCCAATTTATCCGGATTAACGAGGGTTTACTCCACTCGCCCATACGTTTTCATGGCGTGGTGCTTAATTAATTAAATACAGGGAAAACTTTACTTTTAGCTTTACCTTTATCTTTACGTTGGTTTCATTGTGAAACGCTCCGACCGTTTAATCCTTTAAAGCACAGCAGTTACTACACTGCATATACCCTACTTTAACATTAAAAATCTCTGGATTTCGTCCACGCAAGCCGTATTTTTTATATTCACATGATTCTTAAAATAAACAAGGATTACTTTCCTACATGTCATTGGCCAGTGTATCCCTATAATGGAGAGCATGTGCTTTCTAAATGGTACTTAACCCCTCACTTTTAAACAGGGAATAGACTCTAGTAATTGGGGCACGCGGTAGCGTAGTTGGTTGAGGCACTATGCTACAAGCCTGAAGGTA